ACCTGTATATTGATTTCAATTATTTCCATTATTAAGCATTTTGTTTCTGTGGATTTTTCGAAAAATTCATAGTACGGATGAGTTTGTTGCTCATTTCATAGTAAGAAGAAATGTATGAGCTACCACCCCGTCCTCAGGTCTCAGATGGATTAAACAATTCCGATTAGATGGGAAAAATGTGACTCATTCAAATATGTGTCCCAAATTGTTCCATTTTTGAATGCTCAGTTGTTAAATGTATAGAAAGGACTGTACTACTCAGCAAACAGACTTCAGGTTAGGTTATGGTTCAGGTTTGTCTCAATGTGGTAAGGTATCCAGTAGAAGGAACTCCGGGGAAATTAACGCATTACCAAAAAGTAGCCAAATGTTCAGGATACATTAGCGTCAAAACTACTTTTCCGATTTGGACTCCTTTTATTTTGAATGACAGGTTATTATTTCCTTCTGAACATTGGTGTGCTGCAAACTGTATTTGCATAAGAACTTCTTTTTTATGAATACCGGGTGTAGTAATCACAGCGTGCTTTTTCATGAAATTTGTAATACTTTGTGGAGGGTAACAGGTACGTTATCTAGTTGAAATGGAAAATACACGCCAGCCTCATCTTTTGACGATATTTATTGTTCGGATTCTTTCCTTTATCTTTCATATTACTCGAGAAACATCATTTTGTGTGTGGGATTGGGCATGAACAGGTCCAGGATAGCACTACAACTTCCACATATGCAAGTGAATCCATTTCGCATTATAGTTACGAACCAAAAGTTTGATCCAGTTGAATAAAAACCAAAGAATTCTGAAGAAGTTCAGATTTGATGGATGCTCTCATATTTCCCAAATCCTTCAGCTTTTTTCTTGAAGAAGAAGAATTTGTCTAGAAATTGAGAAACCGCATCAGATTCAGTTCTTTGTTACATAAGAGATTGACTTTCAGTAATCATTTGAGGTGAAGTGAAATTATCGAATGACGAAGTGAATACCGAGGGATCTTCTGAAATGTACAAATTGCATATCTTCTAAGAAAATATAGAATAAATGAGTGCATGGTAGACACCAATAACACACCTTGGTGTGTATCAAACCATTCAATGTTAATGTTTTTGATATAATTATTTCCAATTCAAAATATTCATTCTCCATAAACAGATATTCAATAGTATTTCCAAATAGCCAATATTGTAAACAGTATATACCAATTCCCGATGAAGAATTTTCAGCAGAAAATGACCTAAAGCGCTATAACATCAGCACTTTCGTTACGCTGTGCAATTATTCTCAACGGAGCAATAAACCTATCGACAACAAAAGTAAACAGTTATGTGTAACCTTGGTTTCACTTTCTTTAGCATGCGCTTACAGCAATAGCATCTACATTGATGAGCGCTTCATGCCACTGCCTGTTGTTGTCAAGTCATTGATACAGAGACTAATGGCTCCAACTACGAAAAAGCCAAAATGCTCAAAGAGAAATGAATATACCCAGCTCAAAGTCATTTCCACAAATGTGAACTGGTATATAAAGAGAGGAAAACAACTACTTTCCTGGCCTATATGCCACGCAGAATATTGAATTACAACCACCCGAAATCTATGCAACGATTCGTAAGACTAATACAGATGCAAGTGTTTTTTTTTTTCCTAAATGACGAGACATCAGTGCAGGGGTGTCCCCAGATGGCATTCATGATCGCCATCTGATGCGAACCTGACCCAACGTGAGCACATATCATGAGGGATTCGCGACTATGTTACTCGAATCTTGTAGGTATTTATCAATGACGTCATATGCTGTCATTGTCATGGCTACTAGATTTCAATCAGAATTGAAAAGGAGTGCTTTCATAGTGACAATAGGTCTAAATTTCAGTTTCACGGAATTATAATAATGGAAATATATTGCTAGTGGTGAGAAAAATGCAATGTACACCTTGGTAGTAAAGAATATTATAAGCACGGGATCATATACCCCTTGGCTAAAGCCTCGGGATGATTATAATCTTGGTCCCTTGGTAATACTGATATTCTTGACTACCTTGGTGTATAAATAACTATTACCTATATTTGGCGAGCAATATAGAGAATATAACCCTTCAGGTGTTGCAGGAATCTACCCCAACATGTTTTTTTTTTCAAATACAACCCTATGGCTTGCGACCCCTCATTGGCAAGCTGGTTGCTTGCTAGTATTGACTGCAATATCATTAAAGTTGGGTTTGTAAGGCCTTCAAAGAAAGCCTGATGACAGTTCATTGAAGAATGTGGGATCCAGTCAGTTGATCGAATATCGATTCCAACATAAAAAATATATTTACTGCTTGTGTTCTTCGTCAATTGAACAACGGCGTTCCCACTCTCTAATGGCGTTTTTTTTAACTTCATATTTCAACATCTACCCATAACCTAAATGCCAATTCCTCAACTGTTCATTCGAACCGGTCATTCACTTGCGATATGCATGTGATAATTATCACTATTCCGTAAGAAAATGCATAATAAACATTGCAGTTGATATGTATGTGTCTCAACATGTGCATAAGTAGAAAGTGCACGAACTGTGACGAACACAGGTACTTATGGCAATTATATCGTTGCACCTTTTGATGATGATTTTTGTAACTTATGCTACTGGATTCACAGTATCGAGACAACAATCCAGAACATTCGAAAATTCTTGAATAAATTCAGAAGATACAGATTGATATAACTCATAAAAAGCTTTGAAGTGACGATCAATTTATTGATGAAATTCAATACCATGATAATTCTCAGGATACACAGGATAGAATATCGATATGGAATACAGCATATTAGATATCTACAATTCAGATAGTTTACTCAAAACAATGAAAGACAACTCGTCCATTCTCATTCATCTCCAACCTGCCAAAGTCCCAAAGACCAGAGGAAGTTGTTTCTAATGTTCATTTATCAATTCATTTATTCATCCATCTATTCATTTATTTATTTATTCTTTTATTATTTGCGAAAAGGAATACAAACGGAACTAAGCCAAAAACAATATTCACGGATAGGTCATATCTCAGAATACAGATTCTAAACAACAACAAAGTTGATGAAACATTAATAATTGAAATAATGAATAATTGAGTGGGTACAAGATGTAGTGATTGAAATGTGTGGATACAAACAAAGGTGAAATAATTGATGGATAATTCGGATATTTCACATATAGGTTCTGTAGATGGAATAATTGCAGTTCCTGGTACAATTAGCCAGAAAAAACATGATTTTCCTGTTTCAAGGTCGATATCAGAATACTCGGCTTATACGAAAAATGGTGATTATTGGAAATGTGGTTGAATAATGACAATATTGAGAAAGTGATGGGAGAAGTCGTGATTGGATATTCAAAATGCCACCAAAGAGGAATACCTAGATAAAAGTTAGTGTCACCTTCTAGAAATACTCATAAACAAGGATATAAAGGAAAAGAGACAATGAACTCATCTCAGTTTTTCTTGGGAACGAGTCTATTCCCGTTCTTAATATAGTATATTACGTAATATGTATTGTAAGAAGCATATTACGTACGAATGGCAAAGTTACCCACGCGGCCGCTAAGCGGCGAGTGCGTAATTCCATGAGTGCGTAATTGCTTTACAACACATATTACGTACTATACTTTACCTACTGCCATATAGTACATCGAAAAAGTTTGGACAGGAGAGCAGGAAACGGTACAAGTATTAAAGGTGCCTGTTTCCCGATAAAAAGCTTATCACTGACTTAAGTTTTCGTTTGATAAGGCACAGAATGTTTTTTATTATTATTAGTTTGATGTGTTGTTGATTCACCGCTTTGATCCCAATCTGTCTGGTGTTAATATAAAACTCACTCAGTGCTGGTTCCAACTGATATGGCTTTTGTTTTGCCCAATACTGGTTTTGAGTTATTGAATTATGTTTTGGAACCTTTTTCTGCTAGTTCATCTGTCTATCCATTTCCTGGCACCAAGACACGTGTAACCTCATTGCCATTTCCCTGGGTTAGATTGTATATGATATTACATAATGCAATACCTGATGGAATCCTAGATCCTTATCTCTGCTGGGAATATCAAAACGAACCTGAATCTTATGAAGGATTCTCATCACGTGATATGTTGAGAGAGTCCCGTTAATGATTCAAAGTGTCTCTGTTAGCGACTGCACATGCTTCCATAATGTATCACGTGATTCAAAGCGACCAATGACACGATGGGATTCGGGAATGCTACGTTAAGTTCAGGAACTCGTGAAACATTATGGTTTATTCCTCCAATGATGTAATAAGTATATCAGATCTAGGGGTTTTCCCGTGAATTCTAGCTAAATCAGTTTCCTTCAAAATAATAAATGAATCTGAGTAATACGTGAACTCTTTCCATGGGTTCTGTTGATCATTTAATATTAATAATGTCATCTGGAATACTCGTACAGCTGCTGAACAGCCAGCATCATTGTTCATTTCGTTGTTTTCGGTTAAATCTAGTAAATGATAAATATGTCATGAGCACTTATCACATCAATAAATTCCTGATTGTCCGTCTTCTTATCTGATAGTTTGACATAAGAGGTCAGATGTTCCACAGTTGATTTTTTTACAATAGGAAAGATAGCATGAGGTCAACTTATCTATGATATTGGACGATCATCGAACTAAAAGAACTGGGAAAGGAAAATGGACTTCGAGTTGGGGAACGAATAACAGGGATTTTCACAGACGAAAATAAATTGAATCAAAACACATCTCATCTGAGAAAAATATGTTTTTTAAATTTGTTTTCGAAACGTGAAAATATGGCATACAAACAATTCCGAGAAATTCGTATACAAACAGAGCAATCTCATATCACTTCAGAATTCCCCGTTACGTGATAACAATTTAATCAATGCATTTGAGGTCAGTTTGTTTCTTTGTAATACTGTCTAGAACGTAAATATATATAACAGATAATGAATTACATCTTCTTGAAGATAATACAATTCTCATTTCAGAAGATTATTATTTTCAAATTCTAATGATCTGTGTTCAATGTCCTGTCGAATATACCTGCAAATGGTTAAAACCCATGAAGAGGCAGGAGTAGGAGCTTTTCTTTACAGGGCAGCCGACTTAATTGTTACTGAGCTAGAGCCCGCTCGGAGAAAGGCCCGCATCAACGCTGCAAAAGTGAATTCACTTCAACACGACATGTCGCAGCGATAATGGCTGCTTAACAAAATGTAATCCATATTTGACCCCCTTTTGGGAAACACATTTCAATTTATTTGTAACGTATTTTACCTTGATGTCGTTAGTTTTAAACTGGACCAACGATATTTTTATGGACGAATTTCCCTGTTAACCTGACGAGTACGCACTGATGATGACTTAACAGTCGAAAGCGCTCTGCTACGAATATTTTGAATAAATTATCTTCCCTTCTTTGGTATATATTCACGTACACACAGCCCAGCAACCCTCACTGAAGTGAGGAAGCTCCTGTAGCTTCACATGGATGAGCCCATGCATTCGGTCTACTTCGAGACCATTGTAGACCAGGGTTTATCCAAAGAACTGACTTTTGCTTTCCTTAAATCAGGCGGGGTTTGGGTTGAATCGGAAACCGAGGAGTTCATCATGGCATGCCAGGATGGGGTTTTTAACACTCTCGTCTACCGTAGCCGTGTCATGGGTGTGGAGGTCCCTGACACAAATTGCAGGGCCTGCCGCAGGGTGCCCGAGACAATTATGCACCTGCTGTCCTCTTGCACGGTGTATGCAGTCTCGGCCTATATCCATAGACACAATGCGGCATTGCGAGTGCTCTACTACCATTTGAGGCACTCGTACGGAATAGACGAGACCCCAGTGCTGCCCTATGCTCCGGGGGATATTGAGTCCGTTGTGGAGAATGAGAGGTGCCGAATTTATTGGAACTTCTCATTCCCCACCCTCAGGCAAATACAAGCTAACAAGCCTGATGTAGTCCTCCTCGACTATCAAATCAAAGCGATGTTCGTGATCGAGTTTTCGGCGCCAGCCGAACAGAACATTGTTTTGAAGGAGGAGGAGAAACGGACTAGATATCGAGATCTTCTCGACGAACTCCGCAGGCTCCATCTACCATCTAGACCATTCTGTAGAATTTGTCATCCTGATAAACGGATCCCTAGGAGGCACACGACATACACTGTTCTCGGAAATCCAAAAAATTCCAGCGTGCCGCGATAAGGCATACATCCTGGCTGGTGGAATGCAGAAGGCTGTCATACTTGGATCATTGCGTCTACTCAGGGCACTCGGTTCTTGGTTCCAGTGATTATTCGCCCCATGCACAGGCTGTGGAGAGTAGTCACTGGATTTTATCCAGAACGATTCTGCGTGGCGTCGGAGGCCGCAGAGTTGTGACTGGAATTATAAGAATTCAAATAATAATAATTGTATTATTCATCAATATAGTGACTGCTCTTCCATTCAATCCATAACATCATGACATGTTCATAGAACCGAAATTATATTTGATTTAATATTCATAATGATTGAATCATGCAGGAAGTTTGAGATGTATAACCATGAATAATATGAAGTTCGAATTGTATTCGATGCGATTATTCTTTGAGTAATTCTGAACGAACGTCAACATTTTACGACGCGCTTTGTTTGTATGTAAAAATATTAATTGGGTACTATGGAAATAATTCTTGATCTCTGATTGGCGAAGTTATTCTATGTATATCCACGTACATTCCAACTTATACGAAGTAGCTTAACTCAATAGAACGTACTGAATGGTTTGGAATCATACGAAGAAGATTATCATGTTTATAATATATCTCAAAATATTCCTAGCAAAACTTCCATACCTATTCAATGGGTTCATGGGTTCAAGATTGAAAGATAGAAATTTGCTTCTATAGAGCTCTAATAATAGATTCGTGATTGTGATTTCTCAATTCAGAATGTTTCCAAACCCTCTGTATGATGAACATTCATTCATCGTACAACTGACAAACAATTATTTGACTTGTCCAATATTACTTTGTTTCCAGAAAGATTAATGAAATACTAGTACTACTAGTAGTGAAAATAATACTATATTACTACACAACCAATATATGGACAACCCTGGAGGCATAATATCGATAATTGTATGTAATTCATTAATGATCAGTTTGTATCTGCAAAATGTCATTTGAGCGGCATTAGGACGTTTACTGTAATAATTATTAATTGCACTGGGATCTGCAACTTGCAGTCCAATCACCGCAAAAATTCAAATAGCCCAATCATTCTGATTTATAATTGAAGGCCATTCAAAAGCAAAACAATGAACAGTAGTTTCTCAAACTCAATCAAGATCGTTTAATTTTATCAAAGAAAAGTAGTGTAATCGAGTCAAGGATTTATTTCATACAATTATTACTCGACTACCGGAAAGTACCTTGAAATGAATTATTCACGGCGAATAATTGATATCTTCATTTAATATCAGCTATAATTAGTTTTATATTTTTTATAGAGATTTTCTCGCACAATAGACATTGTATTGTGATATCACTTCGAGCTCCGAGAGAATCATACTTATGGACACTTTTATATAGGTATGACTCCCTGTCAAAGTACGTTCAAAGTATTTTTCAACTCTTGGGGGGCAGGAGGAACATCGTGCATACCTGGGAATGATATGGAGAGAAGGAAGGTGTTGGGTTTCTTTCATTTCTGGAGATCTTGAGTTCCTGGGAATACTTCCTTTGGCAAAGAATTCCATCAAAGCTTCACCGTTCTGAAGACAAACGATCGATGTGCTGACTGGGCATGTCGAGTACGCCTGACCTCTGTGATGGAAAGATATACAGGGTGTATCTAAATAACATCGAGAAAATTAAGGAAATGAAGTTCGTATAAACATGTGTCCTAGCTTGCTTTGTTTTCGAGATACACAGCGTATGAATATTTCCATATTTTTTTCTATTCATTTCTCAATTATTGTCCTTTAAACAATTTCAATAACACGTTGTGATTTTGTTTATAGTAATATAAAGCTTCTTACATTGATATTCATGGTGAATGTCATTGTACGCCACCGGCATTTCTATTAGATTGAACTATTGAAATAACAATTTTTCTATTCCGTGTGTGATTTTTGTTTCTAGTTTAGTTTTTGAGGAAACAACAAAAATTCTATTCAACATCAAATTTCAATGTAGGTGTTCTCAAGACTTCCATTCAGATTACTCAATAACTGTAATTAGAATCATTTTGAAATGTTGGGGCTTCCTCAGTGTCCATCCATACTGAATTTTGGGACTATGAAAGCTCATACAGGGGGGTTATAAATAAAAACAATTAATACTTTCAACTTCAACATCCTGTATCTCAAAAACGGAGCAGGTTGGGACACATGTTTATATGAACTCCATTTGCTAGAATATCACAAGGAAACACATCTTGAATTTTTTCGGTGGTATTTGAATACACCCAGTATAGCAGAGATTTCTGAAGAATATTTCCTGTGGGAGTATATAGAGAAATGTGAAGGGTCGCTAACTTTTCTATACGGTGTTCCAATGATATGAAAGAATTATTGAGTGTGGCATCACTAACCAGGCGAATGTCTCGTCTATGAATGGATTTCAAGAGCATCAACGTATGTTTGGGTGCTGAACCCCATATGTGGGCCGTATATGTGCTTTGTACATCATGAGAAGCTGTTGAGGTGTAAAGTAGTTTGTGAAACAGCCCTTCTATGAGTCATACTCTGCTGATAGAAATATCGAGTATGGGTGACACAGGGTATCGGGCCACCCCTGTAACTTCTGCTTTCGTCATCGGATTTTTCTGAAATTCGGTACAGTTATATAAGCAACTTTTTCGGATTTGATCACATTACAATCCAATATGGCGGACTTCCGGTATTTCTGTAAATGCCAGCAACTTTGTTTTTTCAAATGAAACACCCTGTATATTTTTACATATTCAAGTTCAACAGGTCGAAACAAGTGCAATCTTCATTTCAAATGTCATTTTTTCGGAAAAAATTAAATTAAATTTGTGTTTTCATTTTACCTTGTGGATAAATGAGATGTGGTCAAGACTATTCACAATGAGTCACACATAACAGAAGAACATAATTTTTTCTGAAAAATTATTTTTTGTGTCACTTATCCAGGAATCAATTCAGCCACATCACTTTTTGATCAAAAATTATTTTTTTTTATATGGAACCCCTATGGGCCACCTACCCGTTTCTCTAGAACATACATTAAGGAACAAAATGAAATATCATTTTTGGTTTTCGGTGCAGTAACAAATTTTATACATTCAAAAATCTACAACTATAGTTTATGAATTTCCTTGCAGTTAGAATAATTTTTCAACTAGGTAGGCTGTGGAATAAATGACATTTGACATCAAGATTGCACTTGTTTTGACCTGTTGAACTTGAATACGTAAAAATATACGAGGTGTTCCATTTGAAAAAACAAAATTGCTGGCATTTCCAGAACAACCGGAAGTCCGCCATATTGGATTGTAATGTGATCAAATCCGAAATAGTTGCTTTTATAACTGTACCGAATTTCAGAAAAATCCGTTGACGAATGCAGAAGTTACAGGGGTGGCCCGATAGCCTGTGTCACCCGGTATATACAGTATGATGCAAATGTATGGAATGAATTCATTATTTCAGAAATGGGCGACATTTGAAGAAATTCCAAAAACACGTGAGTTTTAATTTTTGAAACCTCATCTCATGACATTCATATGAGAGATGTTACATCACCGGTGTTGGAGTAATGACGTAATGGACGGTTTTTTTCAAACAGGGGTCATGTGACACCTCTTTTGAAAGGTCTACTGATCGTATATCCAATAGTCAAAATTTTGCAAAAGAAGATTGAAATTAAAATGGATTATCATTTGGTTAACTGGATCTTGCAGAGATCTTCTACTGAGAATTGAACATCGAAGGGTCGTCTAGTTGAAAAAATACATCGATAAAAAAGTTCTGAACTCTACTTTTTGGATTTTTTTCGGAAGTCGTCTTGTTTTGAAATGAATTCTTTCCATACATTTGCATCATACTGTATATATATATATGGTGAACTTTGTGGAAAACGTGGTACCAGACATTTTCAAATCAGACATACCGAGTTCCGCTTTTCTAGCTAGATAAAATTTATGCTGGA